CTGTGTCGAGAACAGTAATCCACAAGCGCAGTGAACCTTTACTGTCGTTCAACGTAAGTTCGATTCCTGTATCATACTTTCCATGGGAAAAATCCGGCATGACAACATATTGTGAGACCATATTTGCTGGAGTTCAGCTTCATAGTGCCATGTAGGATTCCGTCTGAGCACTTGCACGCAGATGGTCCAACTGCAGCTTCGGAAGCAAGACCTGCAGAAGGTCGGACGCGGGTGCTCTTGAGTTTATGGTAGGGGCATATTTTCAATAGAGATAGGGGGCTTGGGGTTGTACTCTATGCTTTATACAGCAAGCGCATTCAAGAAACGTGTTGGCCAATCTTTCTGGTCTCCATAGCTCTGGTTTCTGAAGCACCGGAGATAGGCTGTGGCCTGTTGAAGCTCGTTTTGGTGGGGTCATGTGATGCTCGCGGCATGCCTTGCTTTTTCGCGATGCCCCAAGCCTTTCTGCAGCGTGTGTTTTAAAGCCATGTTCGGATTTGGTTCCCTTTTGAGGTCCCTTGACAACGCCCCAGACCGTAACCCCTGATCCCGAACCCGAAACCGATGACTATGAATCTCACCAAAACCGGTACGTACTTTAGCAGGGAACCTCCTCTTCGGCAATGCCCCCCTCTGAAGCTGTAGGTCATCAAGCTCCATCGATAATGCATAGTGCAGCCCACAGTCGTAAACCCCAAAAGCCTTCGACCGAAAACCCTGAAAGCCCTAAGACCTGAATCCCAGACCTGCCTAGCATTTCGGGTTGTCCAATCCGAGACTTTTTGCTTCAGTCTCGCCTTTCCTGCACAAACCTCAAGCACCAGAATCCCAAATTCCGAAGCCTTGCGCCTTTAAACCCTAGTTGAACCCCTAAGCCAATAAACCCCTAAACCCCAAACAGACACCGAAATCCTAAGCCCCACAGCCCGGAACCTATCGGGAGGACAAGCCTTCTGGACAGGCAGGACGAGGGATCCATCAATGGTCTTGTCGAGGGCTGCTTTTGGGTTCAGGGCTTTGGGTAAGTTTAGGGTTTTCAAGGTTTCGGGCTTACGGTTTAAGGGTTGGGGTTGAGGGTTTCAGAGCCAAGTGGCGCTTGGTTGAACGGTCTTGCAGCCCTTCGGCGACAGTGATCGCAGGTCGTGCTTATCAAAGTAGAGTCAGGAGTAGCATGAGCGCATGAAGGTACACGACACCTCGGGTTGTGTGTAGTTTGGAGCTTGGTTCGGAATCCGCGCTGCGTTGCTGTAATATGCATCTGTGGCATCAGAGGAGCTCTTCAGACTTAAGAGTGCAGTTGAGTGTATAGGAGATGTCAGAGAGCATGGGAAGCAAGCGTGTTCGGTGTTCGCCCTGCGCATAGGTCATTCAGCAGGGCTCCGTCAAAGCTGACCGCTTGTACGTGGTGTCTGCTGGTGAGCTCACTGTCGAGAAGGACGGGCAGAAGGTGCGAGCGATATCGGGCATTCTCGTTGAGAGTCGTGAGTGTGGGAATTCCGAGATGTGAGACCACTCAGACTCTTTCGGACAATCTTGCTCAGCCCAAATCTCCCAGGCCACAGCCGTTTGCTCATTTTTGCCAGCGTAATGTAAGGCTTTGGATAAGTAACAATAACAGTGCCGTGTATTCCTGAAAGAGGAGACAGGCAGAATGCTTTACCCCAGAACACCATTCCGAGTATGGCGATCCTATGCCAGGCTGCTCTCAATCTTAGTCGTGCCTCCTGGGCCTCATAACTGCACTTCGCGCCTCCTGAAAACACGTCTCCTTCTGAGAGTAGAGGATTGCAGCACGTGGCTCCCGCACGATAAAGCAGTGCAAGCTCACCACAAGAGCCTCCAGATTCAAGGTGTCGAACCTGGCTCAACAACCCGTAAGCCTTGTTAAAAAGGGGCATTACCAACTAAACCAGGGCTTTGGTGAATCCTCTAGTATATCTCCCTTACCCGTAGAGTCTCAGGTTTATACTTTTAAGATCCATGCAATCATAGTTAGCTCAGGACCCGGGTAGACTGCCAGGTCAACGGCAAGGGCCCGCCATTGCCAGCCCGGAAAGGAAAAGGCCAGGGCCCTTGTCTGGGACGGGGGCCGACGCACAGACACACGCAAACACAGACACACAGACACGCAGACACGCAGACACACAGACGCAGAGCCACCGAGCTACTGAGCTACTGAGCCGCTGAGCCACTGAGACACTGAGACACTGAGACACTGAGACAAAGAGACAGAGAGACAGAGAGACACAGGCACAGACAGACCCACGCGCTCACCCACACACTCCCCCACACGCTTACACGCTCACCCACACGCTCACTCACACGCTCACCCACACGCTCACCTATACACGCTCACCCACACGCTGATGCCCGCACCCGCACCGGCAATCGCACCCACGCGCACATGCATACACATGCACGCCCATGCCGATGCCAGTGCCCATGCCACATGCACAGTGGCGCATGCGCACTCGCGCGCGCACGCACGCACCGTGCAAGC